GGGGGGGGGGGCATTTCTTCTCATCTCAATTACCAGGACATTCCTATTCCTTCTGAAGATCTCATGTATTTTTTATTTGTGGGCACTGTAACTGCATCCATTCCTGTTTCTGTCCTAAGTTCATCCTAAACTAAAATTGGGCCCGTGTCCTATAGACCCTGCATTCTGGGCATTGCATCGCCCAGTCCCAGTGCTTTTCTACGCTCATTGTTCTTTTTCCCAGTGCCCTTGGCTGCTGCTAATTTTGTTATCCTGTATTTATTTTTATTAAGATCTGCAAAGTCTTTGCTGATCCATGTAGGCCGACATAAATAGAGTTTTTTACTTTAGAAAATAAAAGATTATTAATTTTTGGGGGGCTTCTCAAAGATGAGCATGCATCCTGGAGGTATTCTAGAAGAGTCCAAGCGACACGTGACAATTTTTTAATTGAGTCCATTTAAATATATATGTGAATAAATAAAATATAATATATATAAAATATAATATTAAAGAGCTTTGAAGGGAGGCCAGAATCATGAAGGACTTGATGACACAAGCTTAGGAAATATGAATTTCCCTATGCAATAAGAAGTTTCTCTAACTAGACAGAAGCTGCAGGGATCAGGTTAACTTATGAAATCTGTCTATATGCTGGTCCATGTAACGTACCTATAACGTCGAGGTGCATAAGAGTTGCAAGCAGAAAATGGAAAAAAGCTGCACCAAGAAAACACTGGTGCACCACAGCCGGGACAGCAGGCATAGCCGATTCTAAGGCGGGAGCCTTCAGGACAAAGAAGGGGCTACCTAGTAATGAGTGGAAGGCTAGGGAGATGTGTGATGTAAATATGCGCACACATAATAACAGAAAAAAATGCAAAAATTGCAAAAAAAAAAGCAAAAATTGCCCGAATAGCAGAGTAGAAGCCCACATCACAGGAAGAGATGCTGTGAAGAAAGGGGAGGGCGCCTTCGGCCACAACCGGCAAGCAGCTTGTGCCAAGTCAGAAGGCACAATGGCGACACAGATCCTTGTAGAGGAATGTCCTGGAGCAGAAGAGTCTGTGTCTGCTGCACTGAAGGACATGGCATTGATTTTATTTCCAAGGTAACTTTACCACCCTTGAGCTGAGAGACCTCACCTCAATCCTGTAGCCAAAAAAAACAAAAACACCACCAACAAGGAAGACTACCTACCTTCTACTTCCCCTCGGTCACATGGCCGAAGGGTGAATTTCTGCACATAAGCCTCTTCCCCAAGGACTCAGGAAGAGCCGGCCCTGGCGACACCGTGTTTGGACTGCAGCCTCCAGAGCTGTCAGAGAATAGAGCTCTGTTGTGTAAGCCTCTCCATTGGTGGTGCTTTGTTACAGGAGCCCTAGCAAACTAAGACACACACGCACACGCACACACACACGCACACACACACATGCACATGCACACACGCACTGTCAAAGGTTTTAAGTGCTTCGGAGAAAATGAACAAGTGCAGAAGAGTAATGGAGGTGGGGCTGGTGGGGGGAGGAATGTCACTGCTATGTAGGAAAGTCTCCCTCAGGGACATTTGAGATCTGAAGGAGAAAAGGGGGGAGCTGGGCAAGTATAGGGAGAGCACACTGGTCAGGGGGACAGCGGGGCCCTGCCTGGAAAGGGTGAAAAATGTCAAGGAAGCAAGGAGGCATGGGTGGTGGCAGCTAGGTCAGTGGTCAGAGGTGCCATATGGTGGGGAGCCTGTCGACACCGTGCTGACCTGTGTCTGAGCTGAGTGGAGGGCGGGAGAGAGGTGGTGGGTAAGGGGGACGGCTGTTGGTAAGGTCACTCTGACTGCTCTGAGTGGAGGAGCTAAGTAGATAGAAAAGGCGATGGTGGAGAAATGGTTGGGAGGTGACCTCAGCCACCCAGATGGGAGGTGGCAGAGGCTTTGAGAGAGAGGTTCAGCCTGGGTCCATTCTGGGGGTGGGACAGAAGACTTGCAGATGGACGGGATGTGGGTGTGAGCAGAGAGAGGGGCCAAGGATGACACCAAGATCTGGGGCCCACACAGCTGGCAGGATGGGCTTGGGCTCCCTTTGGTGACTGAACAGGGATGAAAGGCAGAGCCAACCAGCTCAAAGCAGTGTGGCAGCAGGGCAACGTAAGGTTTGAAGAATAATAAATTTTCATCTATGTTTCTTAATAGTCAAACATTTTCTTCTTGCACTGTTGGAACTTAAATAGCAACTCTGAATGCCAGCTAGAAGGTTTTGATGATACACACTCTGGCTTCCACCACCCTCTCCAAGGCCCTGAGCCTCTCCCATCTATGCCTAGAGGCTGGGCGGTCCTCATGGCTGAGCTGACTGTCAGTTGACAGGCAATAATCTGGGTACATGCAACGCTTTCTTTTCCCAGCTGCAACTTAGCCAATCTTTTCTGGGACAACTTAAGCAATAATTTGGTGTCCATGTGTGCAAATTAAAATCCAGCTGTGTGGGTAGCTGCCCTGGGACTGTGATGATAACTGGATGAACACATGGCCCCCCCACACACACACACACACACACACACACACACGCACACACAGATAACATATTGAGAAAGTGACACCATGAGAATTGTGATGGTTTGGGATAAGTCAGTTGACTTTGTAAAAAGTAACTTATTTTATTAAAAGCTAAAGTAGAACCATTGTGTTTGAGAAGAACCAGTGTTGTGTGAAAGAACCCTACAAACCAGAATGGATAGAAACCTCCCTTTCCTACTATTTATTCTGATGATCACAAAACTAAAAGCCCAGGAGTGTGACTCCCCAAGGTCCAATGATGGGCATGGCAAAGCAGGTTGAATCCCCTACAGTCCTGGATCTCTGTCCCTTGTTCTAGAAAGCAACCCATGCCTTTCTTACCATCTGCTCTGCCTGTCCTCGTGCAAGATTTTAGAGACCTCATTTCTTTGTTGTCAATAGCACATGGACACCTGAGCTGTCTTAAGAACTACCAAGAACCTCACAGAGGAGAAGAGCTCATGTGATAAGATAAATTAAAGCATAAGCTGACAATGCAAGGAGCCTTTCCTTCAGCCACCCCCAGGGCTGACACTCCTGTCTTGATGGGCTTTATCCTCAGAGACCCCTCTGTGGCTCCATGGTCAGCTCTCTGTGTTCACTGGCAGCTTCAACCCTTTGAAAGGTAAGCTGGAGAAAATGTATTGAGAGGCATTTAGAAGAAAAAAAGTTATGACAGTTCTGGAAAAAGACGAAGTTTGAAAGAGGAGAAGTAGACTAATACTTTACTCAGCCTTCCCTGGGGCTACACGACACCTACATTAGGTGAACTCTAGAGTTTGGGAGTGATGGTAAGAAATGAGTGGGAGGATAGGATATAGAGAATGAATGCTAAAGACTCCAGTGCATCCACGAGAGAGAGATTCAAGGTTTCCTGGCATCTGAAGGGAATAGTTAATTTTTCCTGAGCTTTATTTCATGGTAGCCTTCGAGTTTCCAGAAAGTCACTGTGCCAGAGCAGCCCACAATTGTCTGCATGGTCTGGTTTGTTGATCTTTTCCTTTCCTTGTCTTTTCTTTCTTTTTTTTTTTTTCTATTTGTACCCATGATTCAACCCCCCAATCTTGTAACCTTTCTCAGGCACTTTATTCTAAGATCCTAGCGACAAGCTATGGCAATTGTCAAGATGAGTGATAAATGGATTTGCCAGGCTGACAGGATATTTATAAATCAGCACTAAATATCTCTGTCTGGGCTATAAATGTCTTAGGTCTCTTTCATCCTGCTGAGAGTAATGTAAACAGTATCTCTGTGCTTGTCTGGCCTCTTCAGCATTCTGCTGATGCCAGGTTGGTGAGCCCTCCCTGGGGGCTGGGGTGGGGGCCACTGGGGCAATGGAATGCTTTGGTTACCAATCTGTTCCTCTGCCCAAAGGACAGTCGATGACTCATCTCACACTGGAGCCGGCAGAGATCTTTCACCTGGAGGTGAGCTCCTGTTCCCCTGGGGATCATGCCTTCAGGCAGACAGACACAGGAGGCCTCACTCTGCAGGACTTCCCAGGGGATGGCACCCATCCTGCTGAAAAGTGATCTTTACAGATCCATTCCCTGGTAACTGATGATGTTGAGCTCTTTTCTGTGAACTTACTTGCCATCTGCATATCTTCTTTGACAAAGTATCTTTTCACATCTTTTGCCCATTTTTACTGCATTGTTTGTTCTCTTATTTTTGAGTTTCGATTTTTTGGTAAAGGAGTCTTTTATGATACATGGGTTTTGCAACTATTTTCTCTCTATCTCTGGCCTATCTTTTCATTCTCTTAACAGCATCATTTACAGAGCAGAACCTTGTAATTTTGATAAAGTCTAATTAACCAGTTTTTTATTTTATGAATTGTGCCTTGGTGTCGTATGTGTGAAAGGTCTCTAATTCAGAATCACAGATATTTTCTCTTATGTCTTCTTCTAGAGCTTTTATAGAAGTAGGTTTTCTATTTAGGTCTATGATTCACTCTGACATACTTTTGTATAAGATGTGAGGTTCACTTTTTAGCATACAGATGACCAATGGTTCCAACACCATTTGAAGAAATAACTTTTATTTTTCATATTACATGTTACAAATACACAGACTTGGAAAACATTTATGTGAATATCTTCATTTAATCTTCAAAATCATACTGTGATCAAGGGGTAGTTTATCATTCCTCTCCCTCAGTGACAGACAGGGGACCCAAGGCAGAGAGTGTGTGAGTGCTTGCCCAACATTGCTCAAGCCCTAAAGGCAGAGGTGAGACCTGAATGGTGCCTGACTCACTCCCAACCCTTGGCTCCCCTTTGGGTCAACCTAAGGCAGCCTCTTCCACCTTTGGGCCGCAGACCCATCCCGAGTTCCAAGCCTTCCACAGTGCTCTATGCATGTCTTATTGCCAGCTCACTATGGGGCTAAACATGACTCAAAGTTTCAACATATACTTAACCTATACATCCCTAGTTGCCAAGACTGGCATAGCAGTGCCCTTTTTACACCCACACAGGCCACTCAGGCTGTGGAAGTAGAGGAGTGGGCAGGAGCCATGGGCTCCCCCTAGAGACCAAGTAACATCTTAGATGAAGAAAAAGGGTTGATTGCTTCAGACCAAGTAAGAGATGCTTCCTCTAGTGCCAACTTTTCACTTTCAAAAGAAAGGAAATGTAATCCCACCCCAGATGAATATCTTAGTGTGGCCCCACCTGGTATAAGCATCTTTATGAAAAAGCCAATGGATTTGTATTTTGTTGCATTTTTGGGTTTCCTTTATCCTATTCTAAACATTGGTTTTGGACAGCACTCTAAAGCACCACTCCCATTTGATCTTATCCTTTGTAAAATCCTGATCATCCCAACGGTCTTGTGCTTCTTTTAAGTTTTCAGTAAATAAACACAGTCTGGCACTGTTGCCCCTCTGTGGGGTGACACGTCAGTGCCCCGAATGCATCTCATCAATCATAGGATGGTGAAACGCCACTGATTGTAAAAAGGTCTTGTAATTGTACATGTTTCTGATATTTCTTTATTTAAAAAATTATGGACTCAGCTATTTAAAAAATACTTTTCATCTTAGATTACTCAAGAGAAATACTTGTGTCATGAAACACAGAAATATGTGAGGTCTTTAGTTTTAGATCTTTGATTATTGAAAAGAACTGTAACCTATCATTAACCACTAATATTCCCTGTAGGATTAAAGCGGGCATTGACATCAGACTTAGCCCAAAGACTGATTTGTTCTTTTTACTTGAGAAAATAAATTGCTTCATCTGATTACTGTGGTTTGGTTTTAATGTCAGTAGCGCTAATTTTGCCAATCAATCAATTTGTTGTATTATTGATCTCCATTCTGACTTCAACCTTCACCAATGGCATTTGGTACACATAACTTTCTCAGATGCCCTCGCCATGGATAAGATTTGGTTCCTCCATGGCCAAGGCAGGTCACAACAGTTGCACAAGCTGTTCCCACTGACCCACCACAGGCCCCAGTGACTATGAGATGGTCCTCAACCCCCTGGGCGGAATGAGAAACTGCCAGTGGTTCTGGCCAAACATGCACCTTCTTTCCAGATTGTGTTCTAACTCTAAGAGTCAAACTGCCAAAAAGCACTGTTTGGACAACTTGCTCGGGTACTCAAGCTGCTATAAATTACCATAGACCAGAAGCTTAAGCAAAAACCATTAATTTCTCACAGTTCAGAAGGCAGGAAATCTGAGGTCAGGGTGCCAGCATGGTTAGGTTCTGGTGAAGGCCTGATTCCTGATTTACAGATGGCCACCTTCTCGCTGTGTCCTCACATGGCACAGAAAGAGCTAATTTGC